TGTCTGTATAATGTCTTGTGACGTCCACGGCCTACCCCAGTTACCACTACTGCGCATGTGTGTCAAGGACAGAAAGGTAGATGTGGCAGTGGAAGGTGTCAAAGCAGTTTGCGGAGAAAAACAAAGTAAAGAAAAAAAAACGATTAATCGATTATTAAATTAGTCATCGATTATTTTAATAATCAATTAGTCATCGATTAATCGATTAATCGTTGCAGCCCTAGTCACATCTAGGTTTAAACACTTTGTGTTGATTTGTGAGATAATTGTTTGTCATCAGAAGGGGGTCCTTGTGTTAATTTTAACACGAGGACCCCATCCTAAAGAACAACCTAAGATCCTTGTTAAATTGCATCTTCGGTTAGTCTTTCTTTAGCTGTTGTCACTATTTTTCACCGTGGCTTCTTAAGCAAGGTAAAGCTGTTTTTTCGGGACTTTCTTTATGTAGTCTTGCATTGTCGTGCCCTACTTTCTTTCTTGTTTCAATTTTTAATCACACTTTTCGTCTAAGCAACACATGAGGGGGAAAAAAAGACGACCTGAGGTGAGATTTGAACTCCCTTTTCAGCCCAGAAATGCAATAAAAACTTCAAATCAATAACAGAATCCATCATACAGTTAATAATTCTTGGGGCAATAACAAAAGGAGTTTGCATAAAAAAATTTGGATCTTACTTTTGGGCTAAAATGACAGAACCAGACCAAAAATCATAAATTATTTAATTGTATTTGCAAGCTGTAGTTTTGAATATAGGTTTAAAAAGACAGTTTTTGACCAATTATTGTCCAAGAAAACATATTTTCCCACTGTAGGTGCCAAAATACTTTCTTTTATTCAATGTGCTGTTCCTCCGTTCCTTTTATCAAGACAGTATAGCTCTTCAGGAAATAAAAAAGAAGTACATCCCTGATATGCACATCTACTGTAAATGTGCTCCTCTCTCCACAAAAGCAGGATGACTCATGCCAAAGGTTTATAATGGTTTATTAAAGTCACTAAAACCCAGGGTTACAATCGTTTTTAGCAGCGTAAATGATATTTTCTGTAACTGTACAACACTTGATGGTCTTATTGTTTGTAAATTAAATCAAAGTAAGAAACTGTCATGTTGGGGGGATATTTCTGAGCAGAGATTTACGTCCTGACACAAATAAAGCCYTCCTCATGCTGCCTGACATGTCTGATTGCTCTACTTTGCTGAGAGCTGTGATTCATCCTAGACTGGAAAACTTGCACAGCCTACCTCCCCAACACTTGTTCTTTTTTTGTGTTATTTTTTTCCTTTATCTTTTGGTCTGGCTTAAATTAATCTAATCTCTTATTGTTACAATGCAATCTGGCTGTAAAAAAAAAACTGGAGCTCAGGTAAATCACATACAGAACAGCCAGAAACAGGAACAAAGTTTGTCTTCAAAGCTAAAGAAACCACAATCTTAGATTTAAATGTCATTCTTAAGCTAACAGAATAAATCTGCTGTTCTTTTATCTCTCAGTAAAAGCTGAAGGGTGATTGTGTAAATGCACTAATGCTTCCCCTCCACCCACCCTCCTGTCCTCTCTGACTGGCTTTTACAAACTGATTTGTGTGCACGTACGCTCCCTCCCCTGCCACAGCCGCTGCGCAAAAAGCCCCTTTGAGTTTGACCCAATTCTTATCCCGAGGAAACCAGAAGAGAAGCCCGTCCAGCGCTTCTCCAGCCTTGACATCCCCCCCCCGGACCACCTCAGAACCCAGGCGTTCTCCCACAGTTACAGCAGGGGTAGAGTGTTTTCAACGTAGCGGGGTGGGGATGATGGAGATGGGATGCTCGGTGGTCACCCGTGGCAGAGTCAGCCGGCCTGGATTACTGATTATCTTACTGACTCTTGTTTGTGGGATTTCTGCTGGCGTCGAAGCGATGGCATGGTTGTCATGGTGACACCCAGGACATAAAGCTCGTTGTGAAGCTGAAACAAAGACTGAGCTRTTCATGCTCTTGTCCTTTTTAAGCAGCATGCAAAACCTTTGCCTATATTATATAGTTTGTTTTACAAACAGGCGCTGTTGTTAAARATGGAATAAAACAKGTTTTTTTGTTAAAYGYATCCATGYTGAGTTGTAACATTAGACTTTATTTGATAAAAAATTATTTTAACTGTAAAATAAAGACTGTAAAAATACTGTAGGCTGTTTTAGTTTTTATAATTTTTAAACTAAAATTTTAAAAATATATTACACGGACMGAGCCATTTTATTTACACACAAAGCATTCTGGGTAAATGATGATGTGGATAGGTCCTCGGTGTGAGGTTGCTAGCGAGCTATATCCACCCTGAAGGTTAATCTTGGACAATATCTGATGATCGACTCTTTTAAATGAAACCAGAGAGCGTTGACAGAGAGGAGAAGGTAGAAATGACTCAGCCTGCAGCTGAAAATATGGATGGAGGACCTCAGTTTAGCTTGTTTGTTTGTCACTCGATTAGTGTCGAGCTAATACATACAGTATAAGGCTATATAATGTCGGCGCTAAAGCTAACAGGCTAAGCTGAGGTTCTTCTTCCATGAAGCAGCTCTGTTGTCCTCCATCCATATTTTCAGTTACAGGCTGAGTCATTTCTACCTTCTCCTCTCTGTCAACGCTCTCTGGTTTCATTTAAAAGAGTCGATCATCAGATATTGTCCAAGATTAACCTTCAGGGTGGATATAGCTCGCTCACACCGAGGACCTATCCACGTCATCATTTACCCAGAATGCTTTGTGTGTAAATAAAATGGCTCTGTCCATGTTAAAATAAATTTTATATATATATTTTTAACAATTTATAAAACTAATCAGCCTACAGTATTTTTACGGTCTTTATTTTACAATTGCAATAAATGTTTATCAAATAAAGTCTAATGTTACAGCTAATTGTGGATCTCTTTAAAACGACATCTCTTTTTGTGCAACACAATACATTAACTCCAACCCAAACTGGTAGTCTGTCTACTTAACATCCTTCTTCACAGCTCATGTAAAAACAAGATAAGTGCCATTGTTTAAATAAGGGTACTTGGGTGGAATTTGTTAATGATAAATCACAGCTGACATTGAATTTCTTTGTGCCGTTAAATGGCTGCTATGACTCGGATTTGCAGCCTCTTTACTCTACTTCATCTAGCACGCAGTTAATTGAGGCTTGATCCTTGCTGAATGCAGAGGAGTCTTTAAGAGCTATCCACTCGGTAAGATGCAGGCCTGCTCATTCCTGCAGCGGCTGGACYATCTTTTGCTCATTTCCACAAAACGAGCCTGCTGGATTTTTATTTTTTGCCTTAGATGAGGTGGGTGTTGAGGAGTGGAYTCTTAAGTCGGTTCAGTTGTTTGAGAGGATGTCCTCGAAGGTCCTCTGTTGGAGTCAAGAGGAGGGAGAGCTTAMAGCCTCTTTGTCCTCACTAGGCATGTAGAGGAACAGTGTGAAGACCAGGAAGTGTTGCAGAGGCAAAGACACATTAAGCAAATTTGTCTCCAGAGAAACTTGTAACAACAAACAAGGTCAATTCTTGGAASAGCGTATCATTCTAAAGTGTCACATTCAGTTATTTTATTCCTCCAATTTGATAGTAAAAATAGCTTCAATGTCACGTGATTTTTTTTTCCAACTTCCTCTTCTTTGTCTCTCCAGACCTCGTTGATTTAATGGGTCCAATCATTGGGATGTCACCAGACAAGAAAACGGAAATTCCGGGCATGCAAGAAGAGCGGACGGGACTCCGAGGTGTTTGCGGTGTGGGAACCCTGCCCGAGGCGGAGTGCGCGTCCAGCCCGCTCGCGACCAGCGTGGACCGCGCCGGAGGCACCGAGGACGAGGAGCTCACCAACCTCAACTGGCTCCACGAGAACCTGCTGCAGAACTTCACCCTCGGGGGGCCCGAAGCGCAGCCGAGCGGCAGCCCCCTCTTCGACATAGAGGGAGACTACGAGTCGAACCAGGGCCCGCCGTCGTCCTCGTCGTCGTCGCACAACAGGGGCAGGGAGCGGGACTCGTTGAAGTCGAAGCCGCCGTTCTCGTTTTCCCTCCTCATCTACATGGCCATTGAGCAGTCTCCCAGCAAGTCCTTGCCCGTAAAGGAAATCTACGGCTGGATTCTCGAGCACTTCCCCTACTTTTCCAATGCTCCCACCGGCTGGAAGAACTCAGTCCGTCACAACTTGTCTCTAAACAAATGCTTCCGCAAGGTCGACAGGAATTTGGGGAAGGTAGGCCTGAAAAACTGCGATTCCACAATGTTATTTTAGCAAAACACCACAGATTGATCATATGTTGCAGTGTAAAGCTGCGGTGTGGATTATGTYGCAGTTGTCTGAGGGGTTGATACAGCTGCAGGGACCTCTGTGACTTTTGCTGCGATAAGRGTGGAATCCAGTCAAGGTTGCGATACTCCTACAGAGGAAATGCAAACACAGCACAATCGGAGAGGCTCTTATCTCCAGTAGCACTTCCAAGGTAGTTCAACCGTTTTAATCAGAGAGAACCTTCCYACAGATGGACTCCTAAAACGCCAAACTATGGGAATAAATAAAGTTTCAAACACGGAGAAAAGTTTGTGAAAACAACTTTAGCAGGCTGATTGTTAGAGTCGTGAACGAGGTTATAATAGTTTTGGATTTTTCATTATTTCGTTGACTTTTTTCTTTTAATTCAGTTAATTTTAATTAGTTTTTACAGTGGATTTGCTAGTTTTTAATAGGTATTATTGCATTTTTAATGCTTCGTTTTAGCTTAATTTTTATTAGTTCTAGTATTAGTTTATTTTATAGTTTGAATAAACACATTTGCCAATGCAACCTCATGCTTGTGATGTTCCTGTGAGTTAACTAACCAACAGCTATTTGGTCACTAGTTAAAGCAGGTCATTATAGCAACATCTTCCTAAAATAACTGCGTAACTCAATTTGGCAAACTAAGGACTTGTTAATTATTTTGGGACGATGACAATAGTTGTCTCCAACCTGGTGCTACCTGTTGCTTGTTTTTCATGGGAGTTACTGAAAGAAGCTAACGTGTCAAGATAGTCATAGTTAGCCATCTTGCGCGAGCTTGATTCATGCAGTTTTCTCCTTGAGAAGTATTCCACCTGTTTTATCACCTGTTTCCACTACAAAACYCTTTTATTTTTCTCGCAGTCYTATTRAAAGAAATCCCGAAGTGGACGTTGCTGCTTTCTCGCGACTTTTGTTGTCATTTGGCAGGTGATGCTGAAGCAGCAGACTGTAAACAAGTGTTATGGCCCACAGCAAATGTGAAACTACTCGATTAAAAAACAAAAAGAAAAAAAATTGACAAACACTAAAACTAAGGATATTCCATCTATAATTTCAGTTAGTTTTAGTTAGTTTTGTAAAAAGTTTACACAGTTTTAGTTATCTTTTTTTTTTCATTTTATTACAATTTTTATTTATTTTAGTTAACAAAAATGTTTTTTCAATTTCAGTTTTCGTTATTTAGTAGGGTTGGGCATAATCGTATCGTGTGCAATTAATCGTCAGAAAAACATTAATCAATTAATTTTTGGCACTTGACGATTAATGCCACCTGGCAGACTAACCGCTTGGTGCTCCTCTCTGCTTCAAATATAACAAACATTAAAAAAAGTTGTGTAATTTATTTATCTATCAACACAATTTAAAGTTTGATGTATAGCCTGAAGTCTGTAATTTTGACACAAACTGGAACAGATTTTTACAAAGAGCCAATTATCTCCCTGCAAAATGGTCATGTGACTAGGACATAAGGGTGTCCAGGGACTCCGGGGGATTAATCGTCAAATTAATCGTTATCGGCTAAATACCACAATTAATCGTGATTAATTTATTTACCAATATTGCCCAACCCTATTATTTAGTTAATTTTAGTGAACTCTAATAACCCCAGTCATGAATTGCTTGTTTGTTTAAAGCTGCACGTGTTWACGACCAAACGTGTCATGCAAGTATTCCTTTGACTAAAATAGGAAGTGCCGGGCCGTTTAAACATTTATGTGTCTCATCAGAACCGTGCGTTGCAGGATTTCTAACTGTAAACAGTGAATAAACATAAGCAGCGTTCAGAAATCAAGCTCGTAAGTTTGACTTTCGCTCTGTCGACGCTGCGGAGGGCGTGGTTTGAGCCGACCCCGACACCTGATTGTTTTTTTTCCCACCTTTGGGAGTGCGCGGCTGCGAGCAGCAGGCGGCGCGGCGTGCAGGTGCACAGTGTGAGCCCCTTCGTCTGCCGAGACACCGGTTTCACATGACACTGCCTGGTGGTTTTCGTTGCCATGGTGACATTTCCTTCTTCCTGCGTCGGGGCTGGTTAGTAATCTGAGTCAAGGTTATTCTCCTCCCTCCCTCCGCTGCTCCGCTCCGTTTCAATGTCGAGCCAGAAAAACGCCACCCATCAGATAAGACGCCGCACACTCCGGCTCCCGCAGTCATTGTTCTCACAATGTTGTCAAACAAATGTTTCCTTTTTTGTAAAAGTCTTTAAATTATTTTAGTTTCAGCAGTTTTTCAGAATTTGTGCTGCAGAGAATAGAGGTCAACTCCGTTTTTTTTGTGGCTGAGGCTGGACATGAAAACTTGAGGCAGCTATTGGCTGATATAAGCACCAGTATGATTTTTTTTTAGCCAAATACAACACAGTTGCTTAACCAGGGTTCCTGCAGATAGTTAAAAAGTCTTAAAAGCCATTGAATTCATCAATCCACAATTAAGGCCTTAATTAGCCTTAAAGTGTTTAATCAATCTTTCAGAGGTCTTAAAAATGTTAACACATTGTAAATAGGATGTAAACAGGATGATCGTAATTCGTTTCAKATATCAAAATAATTGGTAACGTTTATTMTTTTTAATCAGTCACATGCAGACATTCCTCTTTGACATCACTTCCTGTTGCTTCACATGCAAATATCTCAACAACTGTCCGTCTGAGCTTCGTGAAATTTGTTTTGTAATATGTTAATAACGTTGTCTTAACAAAAATGCATTCAGATTTCTTACAAAAAATTGATGTCACAGGTTAACCCTAACCAAATTGGGGTTGAGACCCCACTGTGGGTCCTAAAACTCCAAATTTTGGGTCGTTATAGGATTTCCAGGGATTAAATTAAGTTTAAAGCTGACTTCTACGGATGTTTTTGCTATATTTGACAAAAAAGCAGTTAGATATGGATAAAATCAATTGGTTTATTAGGAATATTTGAATACTTTAACCAAAAATACTTTTATTCATGAGTTTCTGCCAGTTTTTATTTTTTTGTCCTTTGTGTTTATTGTGAAATTGGTCTTAAATTTAATTTCACTTGGCCTTCAGAAGTCTTAAATTTAACTTAAACTGTAGGAACCCTGTTAACMAAAAGAGAAACTTGTTTACAATAGAATTAAACACTTTTTAGTTAACATTGACAGAGCCAAGTCCATTTGCATGTTTTTGCTTTTACAACGTATTCAACACCACTTAGAAGAACATGAGCGCCTAAAAATGTGTGTTTATAAAAGAGCATCTTGTCTTTAAAAAAGATGAATAGTGGGCTGCATTGAGCTGGTCGTAGCAGCCATTTTCCTACTTTGTAATTGGTAGTTTGCATAAGCATGATAGCTGAATATTTAAAAATTGGCTAATATTAGCTAAAATCAGTCGAATAATCCATCCAGAATCATTGCTTGGACATTCATGAAATATTAGGCTTAATGTAGGGATATTTGAATTGATATGTTACCCCAAAGTTTACTTTTAGCTACAGTGGCTAATGCTTTTAGCTATTAGTTTAGATTTGTGCTGTTTAAAATGTACTTTAAAAGCTTATAGTTGTTGAAAAACATTGTGGGAATCAAGTCTTACAACAAAACTTTCAAAAGTTCGAAAAACAGTTTGTCACTAACAAAAACGCAGCTGCACAGGTCGCTCAAATTGATTCCACAGTGTCCTTTAATCTTTAAAGATGACACTCTAGACTTCTTAATCAGAGGGAGTAAAGTGGGGGAAGTTAGTGCGCCCCCGTTTTGAAACGCCTTGCTACCGCTGGCTTCCCTTTAATCACTTAGAAACAGTTAGTGATAACACTTGAAGTGTTGCAACGTGCTCATGAAGACTGGGAGATTGCAGGCGGGCAAATTTAAAGTGCCTGTGGCATCAAATTTTTGTAATAAATATGAATGTATTTTTGGAAAGATGAACATTGACAACATATTGTAAAAAAAGATTTCACTTTGCTGAGATGAACAGATGTTGAGATATTTGCATGTGAAGTAACAGGAAGTGATGTCAAAGGGGAATGTCTGAATGTGAGCAGAATGTTGCTAAAATGGCTAACAACACAGACTGCAGAGAATCTGATGTTTCTTTAGATTATTTTAATCACTATTATAGAGGGATGAGAAAGTCGTAGTATTGTTTAAATAAACAAAAATCAGGGAGTTTTCTTTTTTGAAGAGTTCCCCTTTGATGTCACTTCCTGTTTCACTTTAGCTGAGCCAAATTCAAAAGAAAATATGCCYGTTATGTGACATAAAAGGTTTTTTATGCCAAGTGTTGTTCAATATAAATAAATTTTCTTAGACATTTTGTATTTCATGGATTTGCATGTCACAGGCACTTTAAGGAAGTCAYTATTAAAAATATGATTGAAATTTTTTATTTATGAAAGGAAATGSACTGAACGTGTTTGTAAGTAAGTAAAGTTTTATTTATAAAGCGCCTTTCACAGAAAAATATTCACAAGGTACTGTGCAATCATTAACAATGTAAAAATGGTGGAAAGCTAAAATGAAACATAATAAAACATAATAAAACATAAGCAATGCAATGAAACATCAAATCAAGATTAAATACAAAAATTGTAACTCAGGCACACGATCAATGCAGAGCAAAATATACAACAATACAAAAAACATAGAGAATGGGGGAGAGAAAAATCTGCCGTATGTTCAATAATAGAAAAATACATAGTTGGCGAGCATTCACTATGGAGGTAGGCTGGCATTAATGGRGAATGGTTAGCTAAACGCTTGAGTAAAAACGCTGGTTTTTAGGTGGTTCTTGAAYGAGARGTTATCAAGGGAGCACAGATTAACAGGGAGTTCATTCCAGAGCCTGGGGACCACAGAGGAGAAGGCACGGTCACCACGGGTCTTAAAGCGAGTGAGGGGTTAAGTTTGTAATAAGTTAAAGTTATCGCCCAACTAATTTTCTGTCAAGTTTTGTATTTTGTGTTTGGAGGTTTGACTGAGCCTGCTCTGTCCTACAGGCCAATGGGAAAGGTTCCCTCTGGTGCGTTGACCCCGAGTACCGCCCCAACCTAATCCAAGCCCTGAAGAAGCAGCACTTCCCGGCCGCACATGCCTTCTGCACGCCCCCCGCCTCCCCACCCAGGTGAACTTGCTCTTTTTTTTTAATCCAAGCAGAAACACCTTAACCAGCTCTGCCTCGATGAATGYACTCATAGTTGTATTTAAGTTGTTATTTATGAACTTCTTCATTTTTCTTGACCTTTTATGTCCCCCTCACTTTCTGCAGTGCCTCCTCGCCCCCTCGTCATCTCTTTCTTCAAGGCTGCTCGTTCAAAGGTGAGAGCAAAGCGAGAACTATTTTTAGTTTGTAATATTTTAAAAGAAGTGTAAAAGCTAAACGAGAATACAAAGAGCAGTCGTTCTAGTTTGTGTTTGTATTTTGATTGTGTTGCTTTTGCCACATCTCAGTCCCGAAACATTCAGCCTCATTTTGTCCTCAGCTCTTGGTTTGATGTGTTGCTTTCAGTTCATCGATGCCTCATGTCGACCATAACATTAAGAGCTCTCAGTCGATGTCTCGGCCACCCTCGCACCCCCTTCTCCCTCTTTGCCTCTTGAATTTGTAACCTTGACGACAGGCAGAGTTTCTGCCGGTGCTCCYTGTCGAGCACTCAGTCTCACTGTGATCATTAATAATTTAGAGCTCCAGAAGTGAGGCTTTCAGACACTTTGTTGGATCTAAGACGATCCGATGCACTCTCACTGTCAGTGGCTTCGTTTATTTTCCTCTGGCTTATCCCTGTTAGTCCTCTAAAAAAACATTCAGCAAACCCAGATTGAATCMCCCCGAGCCAAATCCAAAAACCACAGAGGAGTCCGATCCACCCAGTCCGAGTAGATACACCGTGCCACCGTGCTTTCATACCTTAGGATTGACCATCATGCATGTTCTCTCCTCTTCCAGACTCTGATATTGATGCTGCCACTGCCATGATGCTCTTAAACTCTGCCCCCGGGCACCACGTTGACCCATGTAAGAGAATCAACAAGCAGCCAAACTTTCACCTACACTTCTCGRTCTTTGTCTCCTTCCTCTTTCATGCCTCCCAGTCATTGCTTCTTTTTCTTTTTCTTTTAATTTARGTGCTTTTATATGTTGTGTAAAGGTTTACAAAATGCTAGATGTAGGATTTAGAAATGCTTCTACTTTCTGACTGTATGTGATTCTTCCTGTTGACTTTTGTTTTAAAACACYCTGAAGATAGCTTAATATTTAGGAAACAGGTAGAAGCAGCTGATTTTTTTTTAGCTTAGCATAGCTTAGCTTAGCTTATAATGATGGGACTTACAGCTTTTCTCATTTGGTTCAGCTCACCAAAATAGCTGCCTCTGAGCCGGTTCAGAGCTGTTGGACCCATCATTATTAGCTTAGCTTAGCTTAGCTTAGCTTATATAGTGATGGGACTTACAGTATAGCTTTTCTCATTTGGTTCAGCTCACCAAAAGAGCCGCCTCTGAGCCGGTTCAGAGTTGTTGGACCCATCTTTGTTAGCTTAGCTAACCTTAGTTTAGCACAGCACAGACTAATCAAGGCTAGCTCTTATGTCAAAACAAGAAATTCTCTCTCTTTTTTTTTTTTTGATAAATTCCTCTCTAAATTAGAAATATTTTAGCAATCTGCTCTTCTAGGGGGATTTTTTATCACATGACTTCATGGCTGATAGCACCTGCCAAGCAAGTGTCTGATCAATTAGATTTAACAAACGAAAACATGACCGTTTGTCTTTATAAGTGGAAATAAAACTTACTCAGCGCTTAAAAATATTTTCAGTTTCACAGAGCAGTTCGGTTTCTTTCTTTTATATATATTTATATATTTATATAT